AACAGACACTGCACAGAAAATGGCTGATGTTTGTCAATTGTAGTGGGGACAGATGTCCACCATCATCTCAGGCACATAAATTCTTGGCTCCTGGTTGATGGGACTGTTTGGAGAAGTTTCGGGGCCATGTCCCCTGCTAGGACATCATCACTTTTCAAACATTGAGACATAAAGTCATGAGTAATTTTTAAAATGAAAAAGGGATAATTGCCGATGGTCATTGGAGTATACAGCAGGTGACAACTAGTGTTTCACAAGTTGACACACCAGACATATAACACCCTGATACGGAGACCACCTGGCAAAGCCAGGAGGTCACAAGGTGTGGAAACTGGTTATTTTCTGTTTGTAACTTTCTCATGTGCTGCCATTATACTCCCCAAAAGAATAGCTGTGAGATGCTTTCCACAGCTCTTTGGTAGTGTGTTTCATATCTTTGGGCATACTTGTAGTTGTTTATCGTCAGGTTATGACTTCTGTTTAAGCTGTATAATTCTGATGTATAGAAATAATATCAGAATATTCCTCTTTAATGACATAGGAAAGAAACAGTATTCTCAGTCTCAAAGAACCTTTTACACATTTTGTTAAGACCTTAGAACAAATTCAATACAGACTAGACTGCAGAAAATACGCAAGAGACTAATTCCCAGGTGTTGTTTATTGCTGAATCAAGGCTAGGCTGTTTACATTGCTATAGCTCCTTGCAGAAGCTCTTTTTCTGCACGTATCCTGACTGCTCAAAGTTCAGCTAATTGTTTACTGTCTAAGATTGCTCACCAACTCAGAGCAACGTGCATGGATCAACATGACATTACTAGCATACAAGAAACTACGTGACTTACCTTGTGCTGTGAGAATGGGTAGGGCTCCGTAAATGAAACTTATAATTATCCAGAGTTTTGGCTGTGAGAGAGCAGGTGCGGTGATGTGGAGAGAGACAATTGTGTAGAGCTACGTGAGAACTGCTACAGAATGTGAGTGAAGTGTGTGTGTGTGTGTGTGTGTGTGTGTGTGTGTGTGTGTGTGTGCTGAGTGAGAGATGAAGAAGAAGAAGGAGAAGGAGAAGGAGAGGAAGAGGAAGAGGAAGAGGAAGAGGAAGAGGAAGAGGAAGAAGAAGAAGAAGAAGAAGAAGAAGAAGAAGAAGAAGAAGAAGAAGAAGAAGAAGAAGAAGAAGAAGAAGAAAAGTGTGAGGGCTTGAGATGGTGGAAGAATAAGAGATTGAGTAAAGAGTGGGTGGATATTGTGAAAGAATGAAGTGTGAGTGAGCATGAGAGAACTGTATGAAAGAGCTGCTGCTACACAGAGGAGCTATGCCTAAGAACTGTAAAAAGTTCTGTATGGGAGAGAGCTATGTAAAGATGACGCTGTAGAAAAGAGAACTAGAAGAGAAATGTATGTAAAAGAAAGATGTGCAGTCATGTGAAAAGATGTATGTATGTAGAGATATGTCGCTGTGTGCAGCAATGTGGAGACATGTAGCTATGTAGAGATGAGAGACCATTTTTATGATGAAGTAAATAACAAAGTTAACATCTGAAAGCATGTGTGTTTCCTTATTACACCAGTCATAGATAGATGAAAACTTATTCCTAAATAGCCTCAGATAAAAGGTTTCCTATTTCTTGCTACTCTGAGGCATTCCTTTTTTTACTTGAATGGATCATGGGAGCTGGTTTCTCAGGTCTTCAATATTTAGTCTCTCTGATTTGTGCTAACAAGTCAAGAGGTGAGCTCTCAGCTTCTTGCTCCAAGCACAATGCCTTCAGCTTGCTGAAGTATATCCCTGACATCATGGACCATAAACCCTAATAATTATTTTCTTCATCCACTTACTTGGACATGGTATTTTATCAAGGAACAGAAATAAATCTAATACATGCCTGAATAAATATTTTAGGAGGTGGGAACATTTATGGAGTAAACAGAACCAATCTCAATATGGATCAAGAGAGAAAAATGGGAGTTCTTCCCTTTAGAAGGCCACAACAGCTCTGGAAGCCATGCCCACCTCCAGAATTATCACTGACTTGATTACTAGGAGTGTACTGAAGTAGTCAAGTGCTTCTATGCCAACCACAGCAGCTTGGATTCCAACACCAGTGTATCATACATACTGAATATGTCCAAGTACAATCACATGTGGTAAGTGATCCTGTGTCTGAGACACCATATTTCTCAATAATAGGTAGTAACCCTGAGATTTGTCAGAACAGAGAAGTCCCCCTATGCCATTCTTGGCTCCTGCAAGGACCTGGATTGATGTGCATGAGCATGCACAGGATGACATGACCAACCTAGGTGATGGTAGAGGTGGTATCATCTCATGAGACCAAAAGGAACTGAGGAGTCTGTTTCTGACCTTGTGTAATTACACATTTGTAGCCATGAAGTAATAAAAGTTACTCACAGGTAACATTTATGTTGACTGGGTCACATTATGTGCATTTATTGGGTCATAAGTTATGCACTCATAGCATACTGAGTCAGTCCTAATGATACTAGGAAAATTGAAAGCCCTGTTGATCAAATCGATGGACATTCATTCTTCAAGCTACATGTATCTGAGCCTGTCCAGGCCTTGAGCCTTTCAGATAGATCAAAATAGTTTTTCCTAACATGGCTTCATCTCTAGTGAACTGGAAGTTGGACCAGAAAGCCCATCTCTAAGTGAAGTCAGGGGTTGACTGCATTCAGAGAGGGAAGAGATGAAAGAGTTCAGAATGTGAAGACTGGGGTCTGTAGAGGGATAAGTAAGGGAAGGCACTTGAGACCCATCAAAGGTTCTGAACACTTATGAACTGAGCTGGAGTTGTTCTTGTGGTTGTATGTTAACAGTGCAGTGCAGACAACAGAGAGGAGATTGCCCTGTGTGGGACCTCTGACACTTGTAAGGATTTCATTCAACTAGTGTTGGCCTATCCCTGCCAACCAGAGTATAACGTAAATGAGAAGGTGAATCATAGGAGATGCATGGTAATCTGAGTGATCCAAGATGGCAGGCCCTCCTTGTTATGAGAGAAAAACAAACCTGTTACATGTGAGCTGAGCTACAGAGCTTGATGATAGACAGCCTTAGGAGTATCATGAAGCCTAAAGTGCTGTGTCCCATCAAGATGCTTTGAACACCACAGCTCAGTGTGAGCCAGTGCCCTTCAAACCTTTGCTATCTAAGACTGTACTAAATATAGGTTATGATTAGAGTTCTGATGTGGCTTCAATGGGTATCCTCACAACCTGTCACCAGGACTTAATATGTGAATGGAAACCTCAACCAGGCGACCAGGAGCAGGTCTGCTTTCAGCTCAGTGGTCCAGTATTCAGCTCTGGTGGTTCATGATGACTGACATAAGCCACTGGTTACCTAAGGATGAAGCATGATCTATGAATCATCTAGGAATGTGATGGATTAGAGCAGGCAGAACTACCTTTTCCCATGTGTTTTAATGTCCCTTCTCTTGTATGTGTGAACTATGTCAAGATATTTTAGGAGGTTCAGATGGATAGTGACTATGTGACATATGACATATTTAACTTGCTGAAACTGGACTGATGTACCTGGTGTGTTCAACATTTGTGCTGGTTATATTGTATTTCACAACACAAGATCTAGACAAATGGGGAACCTCAAGTAATTGCCTCCTTCAGCTTGGCCTGTTGGTATGTATGGGGACTATTTACTTGTTATAGACATGTGTGAGCACCCAGCGCACTGTGTATCTCACCATTCCTAGGCAGGTTGTCCTAGGCTATACAAGGAGAAGATACCTAGTCAAATCGTGAAAAGTTGGCAGGGAAGCATCATTTCTCCATGGTCTCTTGACTTCCTGTTAGTTTGAATAATGATACAAATAATAATACTTTACAAAATAAATGGATCAAAAGTTGGCTTTTTGAACTGATTAACAGTTTTGACAACTTTAATCTGATTTGCTTTATTTTTAAAAGATTAACATTATTAATACTAGAAGTGAAATTTGACACCTTGCATTCCATTTTCAGAATTTTAAGGATTCCATGAATACTCAATAGTTACTTGCTATTTTTTGAGTGACCTAGATGAAACAGACACATTCCAAGAATCCCAAAACCTACAGAGATAGAAGCATGAAGAAAGACAAATGACCCGTCCAGCAGGCCAGGTTATTCGAGGGTCTCGAGGAGGGACCACCTGTGAATCAATGGGGGGCGAGAGGGAAAGGAGACCAAGCGCGTGAAGAAAGACAAAGCAGTCTGAGTTGCGTCAAGGCCTCAGTTTATTGACTGGTGTTAGAGCTTATAAACAGGGCTTCAGGTAGGGAGGGGGAGCAGGAGTGAGGAGAGGACAAAGAAAATTCCTAAGGAGGGTCAGCAGGAGGTCGCTTTGGTCCCAGGCCCCTGCAGCTAGCTGATTTAAAGAGGTTTATTTAATCCTACATTCCTAGGTTAGACTAAAAGCCTCTTATTTACACGAGGCTTGATAAATCTTGGAAGGTAACACAAGGTTCAAGACACAGCTGTCCAGAGTCGGTCTCCAACAGACAAAACTGATGCCATTTGACAAACATGAGCAGTCTTTTTTGTTTGGTTTGGGTTTTCAAGACAGGATTTTTCTGTGTTACATGGAATGTATTTGGGTATAAGAGAGGATGCATTATTTCCATATAAACACTGCAGCATGTTAACAGGGGACTCAGCACATCCCGAAGTTTGTGCACTTATGAAATTAATTTCCATGGATTCTGAGAGTTGTCTATATATTTAATGCAAAACCTAAGCTCTTTTCTCCTTTGCAATTCTGTTTACTATATTGATGTCTTCTTTTTCTTTTTGGAGACCAAGTCTCTTTTTTATATCCTGGCCTGTCCTTAGACACATGTTTATGCCAGGATTAGCCATGAGCCACCAACCTGGCTGTACCTGAGTAGTAATTGACCATTTTCACCACAAGATTTTTCTTGTTACTATCCCCCATTGATAAAGAAATGCCCCTACCCTGCTATAATGTAAGAGAAGAGAGGTCACTCATTAATTACAGCAAGCCTGACTGGGAGACTGGTCATTGAGCTGACTGGGTTGGAGACCTCACACTTATACTCTCCAGCATCCTCCATCCTCACAGGATCTATGCTGAGTCGGCACTTTTTCAGTGACAAGGTCATCCTCTCTGTGAGCTGCAGACTCTGGTTATTGAAGATCCACTGTGTTGAGATTCCAGTGTCAGTTGAAATGCAGGCTAGGACCACAGAGCTCTGTACTGTAACATTGGTGCTGGTGACTAGGATAAAGGGCTGTACCACAGGCTCTGTGAGGCAAGAGAGGAGGGAGAAATGACAGTAGCCCTTCAGAGATCTCAACAAGCCCATCTGTAGTCAGTGGACACGTAATAAAGCCTCTAGGGTGGAGACATTGGGGATATGACATAGATAGTCTTCTAGTAGTTTGGATCTGCCACTCATGGGTTGGGTGACCCTGATTCAGCCTCTGGATTTCTTGAGTCTGTTTCCCTTCACTAGTGCACATTGTCTTGTCTCTATGTTAAGCTTAGTTATGACCAATGGCATGACACTGGAATGGGGAGCTGCACTGGTGAGCAGTATCTGTTACTGTTTACCTGCAGTAGAGAATTCCTTAGCCTGGACCCCTAAGGACAAAAAAATGCCTAGAGAAATATCTCCTCTGTACCTCCACTTGGGGACCCTGACCTTCCTGTGAAGTCTGTTAAGCCCATCATCAGAAGAGTTGACATGTCCTGGCATCAGTCTACTGAGTAGGAGATGACAGGTGACATACCTAACTGTAGCTTCATGGCACTGCACAGCTCATTACACACTCTATGGGTCTTAGACAGTCAGTAACACCTTGTTCCCTGTCATCTCTAAGAGGGCGTCAAACTCAAGCCCAGGAGAAGGGCTCTCCGTGGTCACCAGGTGTTGAGTCTGAAACAGAGGTCTGAAGCCAGGTCTTTCTGATGCTCACTTCACTATGATTAAACCATAGATCTCTAAGATAGGCCAGGCCTGACTCCCAAGGGGTCTCGCTCAAGGCCATGATCCTGGTGAGAGCCCTGATATTCTGAAGCTGACTGACATCCTTGGGCTCAGTTACCCAGCACACATCCTCTTAAGTAGCTGCAGTCAGGTGAGGGATTCTGGTCTACTTTACTATGTCTACCTGTTGTGTGTCTTGCACTAAGTACTCAAACCCCAATGTGGAGACACAATGTAGAGAGGAGACAGTCAGTCCAAAATGGACACTCCTGTATGTGTGTGAAGAGAAATCATACCCACCAGAACTCAGAGACCCCAAAAAATCACTTACTGTATATGTGGAGGTACACATGTGCTTCTTGAGTTTCAAACTGTGCATTTAAAGTTCGTAGGGTGTAGAATCCAGCATCTTCCTGGGCAGCATGTTGGAACAGCAGAGATCCATTGGGGTACACAGTCTCTCTTCCACTGAGTTCAGACCCCAGCATACTTTTATTACTGGTTACTACATTCTGTACAATTTTGTGACTGTTGACAATTGGTATCCCTTTGTACCAGACAAAGGATAAAAGGTCCTCTGGGATATTATGAACAATTAGGAGAGCATTTTCCCCTTCAACAACATTGTGTGGCATTGACTCAATAGTGAGCTGGATTGGAAAGGACCTGCAGGCTACAAGGGAAGATAGAAGAAAAAAGAGATAAATTCATCAATACTGTGGAGGCAAGATGACAAGGCAGAACTGAGAAATGTTACTAAGCCATGTGGCTAAACATAAATAAGAATTATGGGTTAATTTAAGTGTAAGTGCTAGTCAGTAATAAGCCTGAGCTAATGTCCAAGCACTTATAATTAATATAAGCCCCTCTATGCTTACTTGTGAGACACAATTGGGAAAGATTTGGCATGAAGTCCAAATCAGCAACTCTTTTACTATTTGACTGCAGGAGAGAATTCTAGAACTGGACCCCAGTGAACAATCACATCCAAGGAAGATTTGTGTCCTTTTTTTCTCTCTCCTTCGTGACCCTGACCTTTCTCTGAGGTCTCATGATTTCATCAGGAGAGTTAGTTAATGGTCTGGGTACCTGACCAGCTATACTCTCCATGTGTAGTCTCTGGTAAAGATAATAGAGGGGATCTAGCCTAACGATAGCTCTCATTACAGTGCACTAGTTGGTTCCACATACCAATAAAGCCCTGATCCCTGACAGCTCTAACAGGAACTTAAGACCAACAAGTGACAAAAAGCTCCCAAATGTCATCTGGAGTGTATCCAGAGACAGAAATTTGCAGCCAGGGCTTCCCAGTGCTCTCTGTGAGGATCCTATGACTTCTTCAATGAGGGCCTGCCTGACCTCACAGAATATTAGAGGAATCATGTGCATTGTGATAGCTCCAAGGGTCTGCACTGAAGGTGACAACCTGGGGCTGAGTTTACCCAGCACAGGTATTCCACTCTGCAGGTAAAAACAGGTGAGGGGTTCTGATATATTTAAGTTTTTCTATGATCCAGCATGTCCAGGGGTTTATTTATGAAGCTGTCAACTTTGTGGCCAATGGATACACCAGTTTGATTCATTTTTTTTTTACATCTATTTCAATTTCAAGTGTGTGTGCGTGTGTTTGTGTGTGTGTGAATGCATGTAGGTATGTGGTCAGGTGCATGCCACAGTACTTATATGTGGGGAAAGGGACAGCTTTGAGGAGTAAGAGGTTTCTCTACTTCCAACACATGAGGGCTGAGGATTAAACACAGTCATTGGGCCTGGTAGAATTTGTCTTCACTCATTGAAACACCTCACTGACCCACCCAGGGCAGATTCTTTTCTGTGTCACCCTGTCATAATGGGAACATCAGTCTTCAGAATAGAGCAGCCACTTGATTACCATTGAGCAGAAAACAGTCTGGCTTTCATCCCTACCCCTTTCCATTTCCTGTTCACTAAGAGCTTCCTACTGTTGAACCTCCGTCTATCTCTGTGCCATCCTCACAAAAGGAGAAAAGAAGACTCCTTGATTCTCCTTCAGACTCTTGTCCTCCTTGGAGACTCCAGCCAGGACCTGAGCTCTCTGCTGCCACACACTGTCAGGGAATTCTCTCTTTACTTATGAAACTAGCCCTTCTCCATAGTGCTCCTCGGACAAGGCAGGGATTGTGATTCCTTGGAACAGGTGTATCTCCAAGGGATCCAGCACTGCCACCACACTCCACTATCTTGGAGTCATTTCTCCTTCTCAGAGTCCACTACACTGCCCCAGAGTCAGCTCTGCTGTTTATGAGTCAAATCTGCTGTCCAGGAGTCAGCTCTGCTACCCTGAAGTCACCTCTGCTGTCCTGCCTTCCTAGACCTGAGCCTGTTACAAGGCAGAAGCCCCTCCCAGAGTCATCTGGGCTGTGGGTGGGCCCTTGTCCAAACACTGCTGTCTCCTCCCCTTGGAATTGGCTTGGTGATTCTCTTCCCCAATCTCTTTTATTATGTTTCAGGCCTCCAGACCACACAGTGAGCAACAGGTCAGTAATTATCCCTGTGCTCCAAAGTCTAATAGCTCACCCCAGGGCTGACCTCTGCTGTGTCCTGGCCTTGGATATGTAGCACCAAAGAGGGGGACTTTCTCCTCTCTATGCATTTTTGTGACACAGAAACTCCTCTGTCAACTCAGTTGTCCTCATGTCCTTAATGCTCTGGAAGGTGGAATTTGCTCTCAGCAAGAATGTGATGGATGTCTGTGAGGTCCTGAAAGGGACCAACTGAGTGATGTAAGAACACTCATTGTTTATTACTAGTATCAGCATTTGGGGTCTCATCTAAAAAGTGTTGTAATCAGGAAATCTATGTCCTGTGTGTGGAGAAGTTCACCTATGTCTTGGACAGGTGTGGACGGACTCACCCTGCTTTGGAGGGTTTCAAAAGAAAACATGAATTCCAGCCTCTATTGTTGGCTGAGGTTTAGTTCAGGTCTGCCCATGTCCACCCTGACAGTTTAGGGAAGTCTCTATTGTTTGCTTGGTATTCCATGTGTTCACCCTCTCTTTCTCTAAGGAAGATGCTAGAAGGAATGAGGCTGAACATATCCCCTAGCATAATACTGTTCTCAAACAGAGAAAGCATCATAGGTCAGAATGACATTGTGGGAGGGACCTTAGGTCTGTTCAGAAATGGAAATCATTCAAGTTTCTTTCATCTTCTCCAGGAAAGCAGCATCTTAGAGTTTGATTGTGAGCTAGTATCACCCCCTGGAGATTGATAGGATGACTGGAGCTCATGTCTGGTAGCTGGCAAGACCAGCAAAGCCTGTTATTATTTGCTAGCCTGAAGGAATTCCCTGGATTGGACCCCAGAGGACAAGCACTTGCCAGGTGGATCTGTGTCCTGTCTTCTTCACCTTGGGGACCCTGACTTTCCTGTGAAGTCTTATAAGTCCATGAGTACAGTTGACTGCTGGCCTGGGCACATTTCCAGCTCTGCTCTCCATGCTGAGTCTCAGAAGGAGGTAACCAGGTAACACCTTGAATGTGACTCTCATGCCAAAGCACTGATTGTTTTTAAATGCTATGAGATGTGCATATCCAAAAACTATTATTCCCTGTCAGCTCCATATGGAAGTAAGAGTCCAAACCTGGTACATAAGGAAGTAAGTGTCCCCAGGATCACTTGTAGTCAATCCTCAGACAGAAGCCTGGAACAAGGGCTTCCTGGTGCTCACCTCTCTGTGAGGATCTGCTTGATGCCAAGGTCTCTCTCTGAACCATGCTCATTATGAGAACCCCAAAAGATAAGACTGAGTCTAATGCTTCGTGCATGCACTTACCTTTTCCCTTCACACACACACACAGAAACACACACACACACACACACACACACACACACACACGCACACACACACACACACCTTTCTGAAGATGGAATGAGGGCAGGAATCTGATCTATGGCCATTTTTCTGTGGTATTGTGTCCTGTACTAAGTGCTAAAACACCAAAATGGGGACACAGTTTAGAGTGGAGATATGCAGAGGCCAAGCAAGAGAGTCCTGTGAGTCCACACACACAACCCAGGACTGAATGATCTTGAGAATCACTTACTGTCCAATTGGAGCTGCCCATGAGCTACTTCAGCTGCCAGATTTGTGGTCAGAGTTAATAGAGTGTAGAATCCAGCATCCTTCCAGGTGACATTGTGGAGAGCCAAGGATCCATTGCTGTACACTGTCTCTCGACCACTGTGTGCAGGACCTGGCATACTTGAATTCTTGGCTATTATGTGTCGGCTAACCTCATGGTTCTTGAACACATTAATTCCTTTATACCAGAAAAGGGTTTGAAGATTCTCCGGGAGATTGTGAACCACTAGAAGAACACTTGACCCTTCTGTTACTCTGGGTGGCACTGATTCAATAGTGGGCTGAGCAGAGGTAGGATGGCGCCCACATTTCATAAGAGAGGCTGGAAGGGAAGATTGAGATTGATCAATAGTTGGATCTTTGTATTTGGCGAATATGAGGCCCTGTGTCTTGAGCAGGTGTGTTCATAGCTTATCTTGGGTGTGTGGGTAAGTGACTTCCTGTCATTTACTGACTTCCATGTCTTGAGTATCCCTACACATATGATTTCCTCTGTATTGTGCTCTCTGCTCAGGTGTCAATATGACCCCAGATTAAAGCCTCAAACTACTGTTCACATCAGTGTATACTGGTGTGGAGATCATGACTCCCTTACCTCTTCTCTACAGACCATGACATCTGATTCTCTGACTTTCTTTTGTTTATGTTCTTTCCTTTTGGAGGTCCAGTCAACACCTGACTTCACCTTCTAGCTTTCTCTACTTCCAGTCCACTAGGACTAGGGAATAGTGAGAACCTGGATTCATCTTAAGTTTTATTTTTCTTTTTAAGAAATGGTGCCTAGAAAACCTCAGAGGGAAACAAGGGTGTATCTCTGTGGCCTGATACATCCTCATTCTGTAGCACATCTGCTCCCAAGCTCTGCTACCCTTCCTTCATGTGAACTGAGCCTTCTCCCATGATGGAGCATCTCCCAGAGTTCCATGGCCTGTGGGGTTTGCTATTCAAAACCCTACTCTATCCCCTAACTCTCAGTGCTACCCCATATCCCTCTCTACTTCTCTCTTTATGTCTCAGTCCTCCAGAACACACAGTGATCAAAAGGGCAAATGAGCATCCCTGTGCCCTGAGAGAACAGCCTTGGTCTGCCCATACCATAGAGGGAGTCTCTGCACTATATGTCCAACAGAGAAACCCAGCTGGACACTCAGTTTGCCCTGTGTGCAAGGGTTCTGATCTATTACAGTTAGTCTACACAATTTAATGTGTCTTGCATGAAATTGTCAAACCTCAACATGGAGATAGTGCAGAAAGGAGGTATGCATATGCCAGGTCTGACACTTCTGTGTGTGTCTAGTAGATTGATCCCCACCCAGAATGGAGAATTCACAAAAAACTACTTACTGTACACATGAAGGTGTATGTATGTTCTTGATACAGTTTTTACTTCTCCACTTATGGTTTGTAGTATATAGAATCCTGTGTCCTTATGGGTGACATTTTGAATCCACAGGGATCCATTTGGGTACACTGTCTCTCTACCACTGTGTGCTGTTCCAGGCAGAGCTATGTTGTATTCCAGTATATAGGTTGCAATTCTGTGGTCCATATTTGCTCCCTCTTTAAACCAGGATATGGATAAAAGATCCTCTGGCAGATTGTGGACAAGGAAAAGGTTGCTTTCTCCTTCGACCACATGGGGAGGCACTGATTCAATGGTGACTTGGGCAGTGGTGGGCTGGTACCAACAGAGTAAAAAGGAGGCTAGAAAGAAAGGGATAAAAAAAATCAGTACTCGGCAGGTGTGATCATAACTCAGTTGAGGCTCCTGGCTGTGTCCTTTACTCTTTGCAGAGTAATCTTCTAATTTCTCTGCCGAGCTACCCCCTTATTATCCCCATATTTCTCCTCTCATAAAGAGTATTTCACCGGGTGGTGGTGGCGCACGCCTTTAATCCCAGCATTTGGGAGGCAGAGGCAGGCGGATCTCTGTGAGTTCGAGGCCAGCCTGGGCTACCAAGTGAGTTCCAGGAAAAGGCACAAAGGTACATAGAGAAACCCTGTCTCAAAAAAAAGAGTATTTCATGTGAGGAAGCCACTTTGACCTCCTCCTCTAGAAGTTCCTCATGTTCTGACTTTTTTCCCCATTTTCTTTGTGTTATCAGTCAATTTCTGGTATCAGTTTCTGAATACACTGATTTCTAGTGTGATAAAACCAGTGCTGTGTAAGGACTGGCACTAGTGTCACCTTTTAGGAAGACTGAGTTCCTAAAAATGTCTCATGCAACAATGAGGAAAGAAAAAAAATGAAAGAAACTGGGAGGTAGTGATGCATGCCTTGAATCATAGCATTTTGGAGGCAAAATCAGTCAGCTCTCTGAGTATGAGGCCAACCTGGTCTACACAGTGAGTTCTATGACAGTTAGGAATATACAGAGAAACACTGTGTTGAGATTGGTGATAAAAGAAAAGAAGGAAGGAAGGAAAAGGAGGAGGAAAGAAGGAAGGATGGAGCTAAAGAAGGAAGGAAGTTAGGAAAGGTGTGTCCATGGTTTATCTACATAGTTCCCATTTGTAGCTAAGGACAATAATTATACTCAAGAGTGATTTAAATTATTTCCCATTTACTTTTATACTATAAGTGTATATTTCTGAAGGCACATGTCTCAGTGTGCATATGAGCAGTTCCATGCCACTGTACTTGTATTGAGGCCAGAGAAGAGCCTGCAGGAGTCTGTTCTCTCCATCTACCTTGTGGGAGCAGAGGACTGAATATAGGTTGTCAAGTCTCCCCATGCTGAGTCATCTCACTGGCCCACCCTTGTTGAGGTTTGGAGTCACCCTGCCGTGACTGGGGACATCAATCTTCAGAACATGGCAGCCAATGTGAGTCACTTTGAATAGGGAGTGGTTGGGGTTTTCTCTTCCTCTCATCACCTCCTGTCCACTGAGAGCTTCAGGCTGCTGAACCTCTGTCCCTCGCTGTACCTTCTGCCCCATGACTATCATCATAAACCCCAAGTCTTCTCTCAGGCTCTTGTTCTCTTTAGGAGACTCCAACTTGCCTCTGAGTTCCCATCCACCTCCACAGTCAGAGAGTGGGTACCCTCACCTGTGAACAGTAGCCCCTTCCAGGGGGTGTAGCCCTTGCAGGAAATCATGGAAGACTCTTCCATCTCTCTTCTCACTGTGCTGTCCTCCCTCTGAGGAGAAGAGATTCAGCTAATACATGAGCCCCAGGCTCTGCTGTCCTTCCTCCTCCTGAGATGTGCACTCTTCCAGACTGGAGCACTTCCCAGATTCCAATGGGCTTTCGATTGCTGGGTCTGTGTCCAAGACACTGCTCTGTCCCTTCCACTCCCAGTGCTGTCCTACATTCATCTCAACTTTTCTCACTTTATGTTTCACTTCGAGGCAACATATTGAGCAACAAGGCTGATAAGCATCCCCATGCCCTCAGAGAACAATCACTTGTTTCATGCCTGACATCTGTTCTGTCCTGGCCTTGGGTCTGTCAGCACCCAAGAAGGAGCCTCCATCCTGTCTATGTGTCTTTGTGACACAGAGTCCCAGCTGAGTCCTCATTGCTCAGGGAAGGTAGGATTTACTTTCTGAAGGAAGGGGACAGTCTCTGAGGACTACAAAGGGACCAGCTGAGTGATAACTAGGGTTGAAGAGCAATCCTTTATCACTAATGTCACCAGTGAAATTCCTGACAGAGGAGAGTGGCCCAAGAGCCATTGTGTAAGGAGTTTCATGTCCTCAGTGTTGGGGTAGAGGTGACCTGTGTGTTCTTGAAAAAACTGTTTACAGCCCAACCTCATAAAGACAGTTATTCTGCTGAGACTCTTTTACCAATCCAGGTGACTGGACTGTGTCAAGGTGTCAGTGTTAACCAGGACAATATTTCAAACTTCCAATTCTTCCTCTTCCACAGGGATATTTCACAGGAAGTTTCCCGTTATCTAAGGGAGTATCCATCTTTGTTTGCTGTGGTCATCATATGTGCTGATATCCACTGGCCTGGCCCTCACATCCAGACCCTCAAAGCCAGGACACAGCTCAAGGACATCTGAACTGGATTTTGCTTTTCCCACTTCCCAGATCCTGAGCCCAGGGACACTGTGATGTCCACCACAGACATTGTGAATAGTAAGTGAAACAACATCATAAAAACATTAGATTCATCCCTAATCAAGTCTTGCCTCCCACACATATTCATCACCTGCCTCTTCTAACTCCATTGAAATCAGAGTAGAAACCAATCACCAGCTGAGAACAGACAAGATTTATCACCATATGGCACAAAGAAACATGAGCATGGTTCAAACTCTGGGTGTTCCTTCTGGGTCATGGAGAACATGAAAGCAAATGATAGGGACAGGAAGGCATGGATTCGTGTTCTAAATATATTTGATGTAAAGTACAGTTATCTCCCTGGGTCTTAGACCTAAGATTCTCCTTTTATTATTATTATTATTATTATTATTATTATTATTATTATTATTATTATTATTATTTCTAGGTTTGGCCTTTTCATAGTGTCCTAGGTTTCCTGAATGACTTGTGATACATTTTTAGATTTAACATTTTCTTTGACTGATGAGTTTGTTTCTTCTATCATATCTTCAATTCCTGAAATTCTCTTGTATTCTGTTGGTCATGCTTACATCTGAAGTTCCTGTTCACTTACCCAGATTTTCTATTTCCAGAGTTTCCTCAGGTTTTGTTCCCCTTATTGTTCCCCTTATTCTATTTCAATTTTCAGGTCTTGAATAATATTATTCAACTGGTTGTTTGTTTCTTGGCTTTCTTGGCATTCATCAAGAAATTTATATATTTTCTACAATTATGTTTAACTTTTCCTTGAATTATTTAAGGATATTTTTCTTTTCCTTTTTAAGGACCTCTATCATCTTCTTAAATTTGTATTTAAGGTCATTTTCTTATGATTTGACAGAATTGCAATTTTCAGTTCTTGCTATTATAGAATAGCTGTTCTCTGGTGGTGTCATGTTGCCATGAATGTTGTTAATTGGATCCTTACACTGATGGTCAGGCATCAAGGTTTAGAATGATTAGGTCTAGGACTTTATTTTTGAGTTTGACTTTGTCGGATTGGTAGTTTGTTCCTTAGTTTATGTCTTCTCCTTTGTCTTTTTGTCTTTGTGGCCTGGATTCCTGGTAGCCAGAATGACTTCTGATCTTGCATGGAGCTTCTGTCTGAGTCAGGAGATAGGTGATTATCTTATTGTTTGGTATAGCAGCGATATCTAGGCTCCTCTGACTGATGTGGTCTGTATCAGTTATTTGGACTGGTGTATACTATGCATGAATATCA